GACTCCAAACTAACGAGCACAAACTAAACGCCCAGCAGCCATTCAGAGACGCAGGGAAAAAGCACAATGCGTTAAGATGCATCGACACTCGCCCCACAATCCCACCGCAGCCCTCCAAACCGCAAGCAGATCAACCCGCGCAGAGACCCTCACCCCCAGAAGCCAGGGCACCCTGCGACCCCCCAAAGCGCAAAGGACCCCAGACCACATGTCCTGGGGGAAGCTGTAACCCGCCCCAAGGAAGAACAGCAGAAAGCCGTGCCGGGAAGCTCCCTGCCGCCAGGGAGCAATAACGCGGGAGAACCAGGCCAACGGTCCCCCAGCCCAGCCAGAGGCATCCCTCCCTACAGTGCAGGCAGTGCCAGCAGCCCCCGAGGCCGATCTCATCCCTGGACAGGGGCCCAGCCCCCCCCAGTCAAGCACCCCCAAGGAGGAGCACCAAAACCTACCCCGACAACGCCGGCCATGCGCCCCAGAGACTCCCGATTGCCCCCACTGTGAGAGAGCTGGCAGGGGGAAGCAGCGGGAGCCTCACCCGTGCCGAAGACCTGACCTTAACAAAAGGACACAAGATGATAATTTACTGATAATTATTTCCTCAATTACTGTAAATGTGTAAAGAGTATTTAAATCAGGAACTTTCTGTTACATATGAACTCTTGGTATTAAACATTGTACTACAGACACATTGTAAGTAGCCAGGCTATACTAGATGCTGTTACTTATTAATACAAAGAAAGCAAAGATCAGATGATCCTGTTGATTTTGTTACAGTTTTTAAGGTGTACTTATTTCCTTGTCTTGTGGTGGCTACAGTGAATCATGCATTCAGTTGATGGCAGCACTTGTTTGTTTTTTGAGGTTGGGGGCCTGTGTGAATGTCATAGCTAAAGGATCTTCCATTATTGATGGTCCTGTGTGCACATCCAGACAACTGCAGCTAGGTATTGATCTCATATCAGCAGTTTTAGAGTAAAAGCAGGAATGATAGCAATATAACAGTGGCACAATACATCATCTGGAAAGGTTCCAGTCAGTGGCATTTAGGGCATCCTCAGCAACATTTACAAGTGGTCAGACATACGCACTGAAGATAGTCTAGATGTCTTTAAGAGCCTTTCAATCTGTGAAATGAGTGAAAGGCTTGTTCCTACCGCTAACTAAAATACATTGAGATACAACACATAACAGCAAGCATTGTTATAAAGAAATAGAGACTCACTGACAATATCACATGACTCTTTTTTTATCTGGCTTTCCAAGCAATTTATGTTCCTGTGGAGATGAGAGCATTGATTGTTGTGGGCTTTTAAGGTTGGTTTGTACTTTGCGATCCCTGTTAAATAAACTATTGCTATCACACTAGGAGCTGTATAGGTTTCAACACATTATCAATTATGGACTATAAAACATTACCTCAAAGATACCACTTCTAGCAAACAGTGGAAATTAGGTAAGTAGTTTATAACTTCCTGACAGCTTTCACCTTTCAGGCATTATTATGACTTGAACAAATCGCCCTTTGGGTGCTGCAACCTTTCTCCCCTGAAACCTGAGACTTTTGCCCCTGTACCCCAGCCCTGTCCATTGCTTTCACCCTCAGCCTCCCGGGGATCCTTCTTGACCCTCTGGCCACACTACTTAAAAATATCACATGCAAAGGGTAGACCTCCAAGCAGTTTTGCATGGCACATATCCGTAAAAGCTGTGTGCTTTTACTCATACTCATATAACTCTCATATTATAGTGAAGTAATAATAATATTGTATATTTGGTGGTACACACAAACCGCTCTCCAATTATAGTAGTAGGATAGTTGATAAAATTAATCAATTAAATATCAGTTATATTTTTTTTTAAATGTGTTTGTTGGTTTCATACAACCAATAACATTACGGCATATTGACAGAATATCTCACTTTATGCTTTTCAATCATGTTTTCACTGTAGTAAATAAGTTTATATATGATATTTTTCTTAAGGAGCTAAAGCATAGCTTCTGGAATGTATATTACTACAATATGAAGCACATACAGTATGACAAGCATAATGTTACTGTACATATCCATACATATGTGCAGTTACAAGCTGAAAAACAAACCGTGGAGTTACTGCAGTTTTGATTCAGATTTGCAATGTAGAATTTTTGCAACCTCAACCTCTATTTTTGAATTGCAGTAATTAATGAGTTTTCTATCATATAAACACAGACGTTTAAGTGTCTCCAGTGTGTACTGTATATTACTTTGTGCATTGTCTTACTTTCCAGACAAGAGTCGGTTCACAGTTCTTTGAATTAAAGACATGACTGCTGGTGAGAGAAGAAAGAAAGAGAGAAGCAATTAGTGAGTCATTGTCAACAATGGATATGAGAAAAATGTGTACATTTCAAACTGTGTGGGCTTACAACCAAAATGTCAGAGTATTTTAGAATCTCCATCTTGTTTTGCTTTTAATAATAAATTCAGCTGAATTATGGAATTTTAAAAGCCTCCATTATGCACTAATGCTTCATCCCACTCTTTAAAGTACTTGTAAACATAGGTTACTTTCACCTCAGCAAGAATATACTCACAGTGCTAACACAGCAGACCCACACACTAACCTTTATGTAACTGAGGTATGAAACAAATTGAAATCAGTTGCATAATAAAAGATAAAATAAAACTGATTCATACACTCTGTACGCTATTTGCAGGTCAGCACTACAGTTACTTTGCCCCTTGCACTAAAAAGCAGCTTAATTTCTTTGACTTTCTTGTGAATCTGACCTCACCACGTAAGCCTGATTTCTAGTGTGCAGATCATTGGATACATATACTGTATCTTTTTATTGGTCTATGTTTTCATGCATTTATCAGTCATATTAAAAATACAATCCAGATTTTGTTTTACTCTCTAATTGAGTAGTGTTTGTTTTTGTCTTGTCTTGTACAGTTGTTGTTAGAACTTATTTCCCCATCATAACTCAAAATAAATGGTGTTATACGAATGTGTTCAATAATTAAAAAAGGGAATCAGCTTGTTCTGCCACCAAATCAGAGATTTTTGTTAGGCTTATACATGCTGTTATTTCATAGAGGAAAAATTTCTTAAACCCTACAAATCAGTTGTTAAGCATTATGCCTTTTTATGTTGTCTAATTGGGGACTTTAAGCTTTTGATATTCCACATAAACTCTTCAAAACTGTTCACACTGAGACAACTCAACAATATAAAAAATCTAAGCACATTAATTAACTAAACACTGAATGCCAACATAACATTAGACACATTTTTTGCTACAATAACAAAGGTTTCTGAGAGAAAAGGTAAATAACTGGTACAGATACAGGTCATAGTGAGGTATATGACATTCATGGGCCAATTTTGTTGTTTCTTTATTCTGTAATTATAGAGAATAAAATGGGATGTTTTTACGTTGGGATAGCAGGGTTCAGTTTTTCCCATAGACAACATTAAGTGAGCACCTCTAATTCTTGAATGGACATGTAACACTCTGGTTGACTCATCACTATAAACAATGAGAAATTGCTCTTGGCCAATTCTGGCTCAGTGCTGATAAGCCAAAGGTACAAGACTGCATATATCAAAATATAATGAGAGAAGTTAAGCTCCCAAGGATCTAAAATCAGGATGAAGGTAGATGTTGAGCTTTGTAGAACTTGTTAAATACATTCAACAGCTTGAATTAATTCTCTTTCTGATTTTGGATGATAATTGGACAATTCACCAGCTATGGTGCAGTGATTTGTTCCTACATTGCCATATTGAAGCTTTGTGAAAATGCTTGGATTGATTTGCACCTTTAGCTGGCTTCTTTTTCTCTACAGCAATGATTGCTAACGCTCCTGGGTACTGTAGCATTTAGAGGCAAATAACATACCTAATGGATGGACCAAAAACCCCCAACATAATTTCTCTTGAGTTGAAGTTGAAATGTAACATATGGCTATAACAAATTCCTGTGGTTGGCTATGGTTAAAGTATCTAGTGTTAATTAAAAGCATTAAAAGTTAATTGCCAAATGCAAATTTACAATCACAAAAATACCTCTGAGACTATAGAGATAGAAATTTTTCCACTGACATCGCCAGTGAATGTTTAAATAAAAGTCAGGACCCACTTTTTCTCAGCTGGAATACAAAAAGTCTAAAGCCTGTTCTCTGGAGTCTGTCAAATGTCATTCTGAAAAAACGAAGACGGCATTTTATCATAACTGAACTCCTGGAATGCAATAAACATCACACATTTATATCTAGCAGTGTGAGAGTATCCAAAGGTGGAATTTGTCTAGGGTTTTTGCTTTCTATGTGTACTATGTCACACAAAAGTTAGGCAACTCAGATTGGCTTAATTTTTCTGGACGGATCCTGGTATTATGATCAATGGACAGTGATAAAGTTAATATAGCAAATATTGCAGTCACTCACAGAGCTGCTATTGTATGAATGTCAGTGGGCATGGAATCGGATAGTCAACGTAAAAGTGCATTATTTTGCTCTTCTGCTCCCAGAAGTTGTCAAGCAATGGTCTTCTTAAGTTCCACTGTTTTATTGCTTTATTTGACTATAACAAATTGCAAACTTAACACTAGTACCACAGGGGTTATGTGTATAAGTATACTAAAAGTACCACTTCATCCACATAGGGAGAAAGTACACAGCATGTACACGGATCAAGATGATGTAATAATTTCTTGTGATTTAAAACTGAGCTTGTATTTTCTACTTTTTCTTTCTAATTACACTGCTGCCAACTGTCAATAATAAAAGGGATGTTATGTAATGCAAAGGGTACCTCCACATGCTGGTATTATCATATTACGTCTTAGTCATTAGTTAACTCATGCATCAGTCTGTTGTTACTTATAAGTAATTTGTGGATGGCAAGGAGATTACATTGCAGTGGACTGTACTATATTCTACAGAATGTTGAATTTTATCCATTTGTCTTCAATGTCTGATTCATTTGTGCAATGTTTTGTTCTGATTTTCCAGATCTTTCTGCTGCCGTCCAGAAGTTCTCCCAGTCCCTGCAGGAGTTCCAGTTTGAGTGCATAGGTGATGCAGAGACAGATGACGAGGTGAACATTGGTACGTTCAGTTTGGCCAATTCCAGGAGGGCAGATCTCTCTCTTTGCAGTCTTTCATTTTCTTTCCTCTCTGCTCTACTCATCCCAACAAGTCAGATTGTCACCTCATTTAGGACCTTTTCTGAAATATCCGCAAGGATTCTCTCGGGAGATACTAGAACACAATTGTCTGCAGTACTTGCATGTATCATAAGAGCCAATGTCCTCTGAATAAGGACTGAGTCCTCCAAATAAGATATTATTGTATTTGAGCGATTTTACATAAGTGAAAATAGTTAAAGTTAATAGGTAAAAGCTTTGTCAGAGTCACTAGGAACTGCTTTCAGACAAAATTAAGCATACCCTGCAAATTCTTGGAATAGGATTTGGCTTTGAGTGTAGATCTTAAAGTTGTCTGTGATGCATGTATAATTAATGTTATTGATTTGCTTATGATGCTTCCCCTGTATCTTCTCAAGCCTATAAGAAATCAAAAGGACTAATTGTGATCAGTGTCAGAGATTAATGGAGGTGCAAACCTCCTAGCCTCCAACAGGAATACAAAAGCAGCTGTGCAGTGGGCTTCTCTGGCTCTAATGGGCAGGGCTCTCATTCTGGCCTCTTCCTCTTCTTTTTTTTTTGCACTGCTCATTATCCCCAGCTTGAGTCCTTCGCTCCGTGGAGCTGGAGACTGCTGAATTACTGTCCATCTGTGAGGGCTAGACTGGATATCGACCTCCTCTACATGAGGCTGTAATGTTCATCTGAATGCGTAATGAATACTCATTCTTCCCTTTTTTCTCACAAAACTGCAGCCACTGTATGATAGGCAGGGGTGCAGGAGACCAATTATGCTTATTTGAAAAATCCACACCCAAATCCAAGCCTCATTAGAATCAAGCACGCTTTAATTTGAGGCAATGCACCCATTCCCTGGCCTTCAATCAAGAGAGGTGTTTATTTCGAACAATGGATATTTTAGCTGCCCACCTGTTATGTAGTTGGACCTGCTCAGTATTTACATTACAAAGCACTGGCACAATAGAGGCCAGTGTTATGACTGTGCCTGAGCTATGGGCATTTTTTGGAAGCATTTTATTGACTGTGAAATACAGACAATGGCAAATACACTTAACATAAAATAATGGAATTGAAAATATTAAACACAATGTAATACTCTGCAAGATTTTTAATTCCTTGCATCCACAACACATAATTTCTAGCCCCATAATTGTGCTAACTGTGGGGTTTTTTTGTGGGTAAGCATTGAGTTTAAGTGTTCGATATCTTCTTAAAGAAAAGTTATTTCCTTGTACTCTAAGCTACATTGCTGTGTTCACTCACCATCACGGACAGAAAATGCCATGATTACTATTTGAGGGAAAAAATGAAACAACCTGTTGAAATCAATCTAGTCATCAATGAAACTGAGCTTTCTGACTGACATAGCTAGACCCTTGCATGAATGCCAGCCATGATCTTGATGCAGTATTGGTATAGTTCACTTTGATGCTCCCAACTTCCCCACATAACATCGGGATCCTGTATCTGCCACCAGACGGGTTGACCTGACCTTTTATTGATTTCACTCTGTGACTTCCTGCAGTGACATTCACATTCCATGCGAGTTATCTAGGAATCAATGGGGCCAAAAGATTGATGTGGCTATAGAAATTTAAATTTTTAGAAAAGTTACATGCACTTCTCTCAGAAGGTCAATCCTTAAGTCTCCGAGAGCTGTTCAGAGCCATCTGGAGTAGAACAAGTCAGATGAGGTCTAGATCTAAAAAGTTAAATATCAAGCAGGAAGGCAACATTTAAATCCATAAAACTGATCCGAAATATAAATCTTATAGTGTGCACAAAATATTTACATGTACAGTAAATGTCTTTCTTTATTTTTGAAGAAAATCTTCCTTATTCATCCAGTTAATTTTTTTTAAATTCAGTGATTCATCAGGGCTATTGCCTTTCCTCCATTTACCAGTGAATTATATGCATGCTGTAACCTTACTTTGACTCCCATTTTCTTTCTTTGGAGTCTAATCTTGTCCCATCAACGGCTCCAGCTGTGCCCTTTACCCCCTGAGAGGTTTCTGCTGTTGATAAAGGAGCAAGTGCCGTTAATAGGAGGCCAACCTGCCTGCAGGTCCACTGGCACAAAATCATTGCTCCTTGGTCTTTAAAAGCTTTGGTGTGTAAATGGACCAAAGTGTCTAAGATGATGCATGGGTCCCCATGCCAGGCCGTGGTGGCTGATAATGATGTTACTGTGTTGGCAAGCAGAGCAGCTCGACCGCTGCTAAATGGCTGGACACGGGGTGACACAGGGGCTGACCAACAGAGGCCACACTGTATCTGGCCCTCTATTTAATGATGCTGTGAAGCTATCAAGGCACAAATCTCTGGCAGATAAGATTCAATGAACTGTATGCTGTATTCATCTGGCCCTGCAGAATGTAATGTAAGCTACTGAAGGTATAGCCCAGATGGCGTGAACATATCTCTACCATATCAGTCTCTCCTACATTGTGACAGTATATTGGAAAGCCTAGCAGGGGAAGAAAATAAAGGGTAGCGATCAGTGGTTTCCATTCAATTGAAGTATTGTTTTTTACTGCTAGTCTTGGTTTTAAATTGGACAGCTGCATGATTTTATTAGGTTCTAAAATGTGCTACACTGAATACTCTCAAGCTGCAGTGCAAATAAACATTTTAGCACCATGCTACAGTGCTTGTGGGGTGCCAGGAACATCTGACGTTTAACGACTGAGCCACTGTGTTAAAGTAACAACACAGTGGATCACTGTCTACTTGCTCATTGGTGAACGTACTGTGCATGATGTATCATATACTCATTTATTGACCACATACAGTATTTCTTTTCAATATGGTGTTGTAGAAGTTATCTTTTTTTTGTATTTCAGCCCAGTCATTCAAAGAGTTCTCTCAGCTGCTGAGCACTGTTGAAGAAGAAAGAAGGCGCTTGGTAAGAATGTGAATTTGATGTCTTGATTTTCTTTTTATAGATGATTTTGTAAATGTATAAAACAAAAGAGAGCAAAACCATATGCATGCCTGGCTTTACCATTCTGTGGGAATAGCCATAATAACATAACAGAAATGTGTTTGTGCCGTCGTATTTGTTTTAATTTGGACTGGTATGGAGTATCGACAATGCGAAAAACTATGGAATCTGCAGGTTTCTAGCCTCCAATTTTCCTTCTAAACCAAACAGAGTTGTTGAAAAATCTGTAGATTCTGGGGTTGTGTGACCAGTATGAAGATATTATGGTATCCCAGGGTATTAAGAAACCTAGATGTTATGACTTTCAATACCATCAAAAATAAAGATGCTCCTCTGTCTATTAAAGTGATACAGAGATGCTATACTGAGTTGATGTATTGCAGTGTAAAGTATGCGGGCGATGCCGCATGAAACTGCCTGATCATCTTCAACGCAACAACACAATAACCCCCTTCACTTTTTCCACACTTGGTAAACAACATACATACACAGGACCACTGGCTGCAGCTTTTATTTGCTTATTATTTGCTTGTTTTGATGGTACTGAAAGTCATGCTGTTGGGATTTCTTAATACCCTGGTATACCATAATACCTTGATACTGCCCAAGTCTAGTAGGAACTGAAAGAGAAAAACAGGTTCAGAATATACACAGTACATGGAACATGGAATGCCTTATTGATATACTACATTGTGATAAGTTTTGTTTATATTTTCTTGTGTGCTTATTTCAGTGTAATATGTCTACCTCCACGTGTATAGTCAAGACCTTAAAACTGTTTTGAAAAATATATATATGTTTTTTTTTTTTTTTTACTTCTTTGGACTTTTTGGCTTACTAGCTGTATAGTTAACTGCACAACTCTCTTAGCTTTATCACTGTGTTGCTCTGGGCCTGCACTTAGCATTTGTTTTGTGAAAGTAGTAGAGGGTGGTACTAAGAGTTGCCTCAAGGCAGGAATTACCTTAGTCCACATACTTCAGCTGTGTCTGATTTACCAAGTCTGATATGCAAATGAGATCAGCTGCAGCCACCTGAGATATTTTCATTAAAAGTCCTGTGTTTGGTACCAAAAGTATTTAATTAAAATACTACATGCAGCACTGGTGGGATTTTTAGGACAAGCACTCTGAAGTTTAAGGTAATTCTAAGAATATGAGAATAATGTGATTAACCATCTCACACAATGCATCATTTTTGTCATCATTCAATTGGATGCACAGATGTTTACTTTACCTCTGCTTGAGTATGCGTTGTATTGACTAAGTGTTACTGTAGTAGCTGCTAAAACACAGACTCGTCATATAGATGGTAAGGCTCTAATTTATGTGACTCAATGTGAGCATTTTCCTCCTGACATTCAAAGTGCAGCTAAATTTAATGATGGAAATAGTTGCCCTTTGAAGATGTGGGTCACCTCTGTGCAGACCACGTAGCTTTATGGAATATTGCGTCATCCTAATCAATTGGACAAGCATAAAGTCACCATTCCTATAAATTCATATCGCCTGTAGAGTGTGTTTCTCTTTCCAAAGCGCTGATCCTTTCAAATTATTTCATTCCTGTAGATGATTCATGGCCTGTAGCACCCGTGTCAGTCTTTAATATCTGGATAATTTTGCAATGGTGCACAGCTTGAAAATATTTTCTACAGGATGGTATTGCCATTGGCTTTTAATCCAATTAATAATTTTATAATGACTTAATCCATTTTTGTGATTCCAAAAATATTAATGCAGTGCTTTGTCTTAAGCATTTAAAAATGCTTACAACCATGATTAGTACGAATTGCCTATCTGTGTGCATATAGCTTCATTTGCAACAAACTTTAGTCGATCATGGTCTTTGCTTCATTTCATGCTGCAGGATATGCACAAACAGTGCAAGTTACCTTGTGGATAATAAGTACTCTCCAGTATACTGGTCTCTGATGGAGCTAGAGGTGTGTGAAAGGATTTTTTGAAAGTAGTTACAGCCACAGTATTTAGCAATATTATGATAAGCAAATATGTTTTAGATGCATTGAGCATACAATGATACAGCTGAGACTTAGATTTGAAGATGTGAGGCTGTTGTCTTGCTGTCAAACAGTCGGTGCATGTTGTGGAAGCTCCACTCTTCCACTGAAGATTTGTTTGAAAATATAAATATAAATAAATAAATATTTGTAATTGAAGAGAGATATAACTGAACATTTATGTTTGATTCACAAAGGTTTTCATTAACAAGGTATGTGTTAAGTCACTGTTATAGTGTGGTATAGTACAGAGTAGCAAAGGAACATACATTTGTTTTAGAATGTTGTGGATTACAACACGTTATCAGACTATCCTGGATGCAAAAACAGGATGTGACATACTCGCCAACAAACTCAGTGTGATGCAGGGTTGGTTGACTCTCTCTGTCCCTGGTGCCTCAAACTAGGCCCTGGCCTATGGTTGTGACTCTGTCTTTTTGGTGTAGCGGTGATCATTTGATGGCTGTCGAGGATGATCAGGGCAGATTTGGGCACACCAAGTTACATGGTATTTAAAACAGCCTTTGCTTTTTGAGTGCATGTCCGAAAGCAGAATGCATACACTTCATATTTTAGGGTCAGAAATTTGGATGGCACCAAGAGGGAACGCCCTTTTATGTATTTATGGTATTTGTATCCACAAATAATAATACAAAAAAATGTTTGTAGGTTTATTTTTTTTTATCTAATTTCAAATGGTACAAAGTTACAAAAACAAATAAAGATGACAACAAAGACATGGCTGAACTGGATAACAGAAATTAAATGACACCACACCGCTGAGTAGGAGGAAAACTGTACAACAACAAAATGTACAGTTACAAAGTATTGGTAGTAAACTAAAGTCAAAGCTGATATGACTAGTCACAGGGGCTATTTGGTGTATTATTTCTTTCAGCTGTGATGTATTTAATAAGTATAACCTATTAATAGCAGATGCACCCTCACTCATATACTGTATCCCTCTCTACTTGCTTGAAAGGCCTCCTCTTTGCATCATCTCTTTTCTCTTCACCTAGCAGTCATCTGTCTCATCAGATCACAGGAATATGCAAGAAACATGGCTCTGATCCCTGCACTTTGAGCGGTTGCTTGATTGTAATGTTAATGCAAAAAAATAAAGCTTTTTCTCCACTTGCTCGTATTTCAAATCTCTTGGGATACAAGTGCCGGCAATGTAACTAATGTCATATGTAAACGTAGTATTTTTAAAATCCCCGTGATGTGAAAAACACACTTTTGATATAGTTTTCCAAGAACATTATACTGAGGTTGTGCTTACTTTGAAGTGAATCTAACCTTTCTTTCCTTTGCTGCTCCTATAAATGAACTGAACTGCTAATGACTCACCTCACTTGGGGGTGTAAAACTGTGATTGACAATGCTTAATAATTAAGTAAGTAGCTTTATTTATATAGCACCTTTCAAGAGCAGACACAAAGTGCCTCACAAAAGAAATAAGGCAACCAATGTGCATAAAGACATAAAACACCATGAAATAGAAAAATGACACAAAGGCAAGTCTAGTATGCCACAGTTGGTACTTTGCTCATTTTCAAGCTTGTTTATAGAAACAGGCTGTGTATACCAAGTTCAGTGAGTATTAGGCAGATTGCCACGGCCATGACTTACACCATCATATTTCTATCTCTCAATTTGCAAAACTTTCTCTTTTGCAACAGTACCACTTTGGCATAAATTAAGCTCTATCATAAATAATTAAAAATGCTCTTTTATGTCGTCTAGGGCAATCAATCAAGATGAACATTAGACAGAGTTTGGAAATTGGACAAACCTTTATCATTTCATAGATTCACCCTGGAAAAACAAAGAAGAAATATTTTTCCTGAATATATCCAGCTATAGCTAAGGTAGCTAACTAAAAAAGCTTACCTTTTTGTTCAATACTCTTCTTTCCATTATATATGTCTGTTTCCCAGGCCTGCTACTACTCTTTTGGAATTTCTCACCCCATGTGTGAAATTTACCTTAATGGTAATAGGCAATAGGTAATACGTGCCCCACCGCGGCTCGGGGGGACCGTGGAGAATAAATGAAAGGGGCTTGCGATTATGGAGATCTGAAATCAACGTATGTCTATGGGAGTATTATTTGAGTTCCAATTAATGGCGCCACCTAGGGCCGATTGATGCCAAATTTTACACAGCCCCTCGGGAGCACGTGGCAGATAAGGTCCCCGAGTTTGCTGTAGATCAGCCATTGAAAACGTAAGACCTGACATGACATCCTGTTTTAGCGTTTGCGCAAACATTTGTTAGCTTATAATTCGACTGTTTTTTGGCGGATCAAAATTCCCTCTACAAACTTTTATCGGCTCGGTTCAGAGATGGTCCATGCCAAGTTTCGTGCTGATTGGATTGCGGCTTCGGAGGAGTTAATTAAAATAGGTTTTTCAGTTTTTGCGATTTATTGAAGTGAAAACGTCATCGCACACGTAGACATAAGGTTTATGAATGTGCGATGTAGTGGCGTGTAGTTATGAGGATAAATGTCCTTTAGTTCAAAATCCCATTGAAATGAATGGGATTCTCCGACCGTATTTGAGCTTGGATTATAGCGCCACCTTCAGGCTAAATTGCACCAAATTTTTCAATTGTCATCAGGGCCCCATGTGGAACAATTGGCCCAAATTTGGTATCAATTGGACTTGTGGTTATGGAGATAAAAAATGCATGTAAATCAATGGGATTTTTTTGACGTCTTTAATCTGCAATAACAGCGCCACCTATGGGCATATTTGGGCGAACTTTGTTGTCTGTAGTGAGGGGACCATGCTGAACAATTCGGCTGTGGTTTGACAAAACGTCAATGTGACTTGTGGTTATAGAGGAACACTTTTTTGGGATTAAATAGCGCCACCTAGGGGCTAGGGGCCAAATTTTGCACAGGCCCTCAGGGGGGCGTCCCACATTACTGCTCCAAA